AGGAGCCTCAGGGAGGTGCTGCAAGCTCACCACCTCCAACCTCGCGTCGCGGCCGCGCGATTAGAACTCCGTCTCGATTTCTATAGCTGTATATATATATTAAAGCCTATTGATCTCACCACCAAAATATATCGTGATAATATCTATTTGGTGTGGCTCTATAGCCTCGTTTTTAAGGTAGTTTTGGTGAGGCCGCGCGCGCACTTTGTGGTCGCGCGCACTTTGTGGTGGGGCTAGTTATTTGACCCCCTTGTCGCAACCAACGTAGAAGCATTCCAGAAGTGCGTTCGCATGAGTAAGGTCATTGTTTCGTAGCAACGGCACAGCACATGGGTGGCGTGTAAACTTTAATTGTTTTCTGCTCGTCTACAACGTCAGAAAATACTGTGTTGTAACTGGCGACAACTATCCAAGCAATCTGTTCCGTTTTGTCCCCATGTAAAAAAAAATCCCGCGTTAGTTAGTATTTGCAAAACATGACATTTTCACATGCAGCAAGAAGTAAGCAAGTAAGATTGGGTTTTTCTTAAAAGCAAGTTTTCATTGATTTTCTAAATCAATCGCGCACGCATGCCTATGTTCTGGAGCAAGTCCGTTGCATAGGTACAAAAAAAAGGACAAGGATTAGCAAAAAAAAAATTATTTACAGAAGAAGAAAAAGAAAAAAAAACATATCAACATTTCCATTTCCATCACATCCATTCAAGCATGTCTTGTTCTTCCATCTCTCGTCAATTGTGGCTTCAAATTACATCATCATCAATCCATCGGTTGAACTCGGTTTGCCGGGGAGTTATTGGGGGGGGAGGAGGGGGGAGATTGCGAGCGCTCTAAGCAAGAAGCTTGCAGATCTCGTTGTAGGCAGGCTTGGGCTGGTAGCTGCCGTCGAAGAGGAGGGCAGAAGCGCTGGCGCCCAACCACGAGTCAGCGTCGCTGGTGCCCCAGACGGTGATGCCGACACAGTTCTTGGCGTTGAGGCAGGCGGAAAAGACGGTCTTGTAGTCGGCAGCCGAGCCGCCCTTGACGTCGACCTCAGTCATGGCGCACTCGGAGGCGGCGCCGCAGAGGGCCTCGAGGGCAGCGGGGACCTGCGAGACGGACCAGACGCCAGACAAGTGGGTCTGAGAGCCAATGCCGTCAATGGGGACACCGGCAGCGATCCACTTCTTGACGTTGGAAATCATGCCCTTGGTCTTGGGGTAGTTGGGCGTGTCGAGGTTGTAGTCGTTGATGTAGAGCTTAGCCTTGGGGTCAGCCTCACGCGCAGCCTTAAAGGCGGTAGCAACGAAGCCCTCGCCAAGAACGTTGTAAAAGACGCTGGATCGGAGACCACCCTGCTCGTTCAGGATCTCGTTGACAACATCCCAGGCGTAGACCTTGCCAGCGTAGTGACCAATAACCTTCTTAATGTGGTTAACCATAACAGCCTCGAGCTTAGCCTTGTCGTTGATCTGCGAAACCCAGGCGGGAAGCTGAGAGTGCCAGACAGTGGTGTGACCGCGGACGAGCTTGCCGTTGGAGCTAGCGAAGTTAACAACAGCGTCAGCGCCGCCAAAAGTGAAGCGACCCTCAGAAGGCTCAGTCGCATCCCACTTCATGGAGTTCTCGGGAGTGACGGCACCAAAGTTCGCGATGATAGCCGCCTTGTCCGCAGCTTTGTTCAGAAGACCCGGGTCGGTAATAGTACCGACGTACTTCTTGCCCTTCTTCTTGAACAGAGCATCGATGTCGCACTGGGCACCGTTGGCCCTAGTTTGAAGAGTAGTAGAAGCACCCTTGCCCTCCTTTCCTGGGCTCATCTTGTGCCCGGTAGGGTAACCGCCATGTTCAGGAAGAGGAGCTGCAGTAGGGATGGTGACAAAGCCACTGGGCTTAGCGTGGTGAGGGTATGGGTGGCCCCAGTGCTCGGGCTTGATGCACTGGCTGTACCAGTCGTTAGACTTGACGCAAGTCCAGCCCTCAGTGCATGTAGTCGAGCCACTGTAGTACCTGCCACCGCACTGGCCGTAGGGAGCAACGTCTCCGGAGGGATAGGCCTGTCCAGAGGGAACGACATGTCCAGAAGGAACGACGTGTCCAGAAGGAACGAGAGGATATTCACGAGCAGCTAGGCGCGTGGGAGGCTTCTCACCAATCGGGTACTTGGGAGGCTCCTGACCAATTGGATAGCGGTGGTGCTCACCACCCTTCTTGTGCTCAGGCTTATTGCCATGGTGGGTAGGATAACCACTGCTGTACGGAGGGATAGGAGCTCCAGTAGGAGCGGCAGAGCCACCGGGGTTGCTGCCCCATAGACTGGGGTTAATACACTGGCTGTACCAATCGTTGGACTTGACGCAAGTCCAGCCCTCAGTGCAGGTAGTCGAGCCAGTGTAGCCAATACCGCCACAGCGTCCATAGGGAGCGACCTTTCCAGATTGAGCAGCATATCCAGAGGGAACGACAGGGTATTCACGGGCACCTAGGCGCGTGGGAGGCTCCTGGCCAATAGGGTAGTGGGGCTTCTTGTGCTCAGGCTTAGTAACAGTGTGCATAGGATAGCCGCTGTGGGGAGGGAGAGGGGCTCCAGTAGGAGCGGCATAGCCACCAGGGTTGCCAGCCCACAGGCTAGGGTTGATACATTGGCTATACCAGTCGTTGGACTTGACACAGCTCCAGCCCTCAGTGCAGGTGGTTGGGCCAGTGTAGCCAATACCGCCACAGCGTCCATAGGGAGCGACCTCTCCAGATTGAGCAGCATATCCAGAGGGAACGACAGGATATTGACGGGCAACTAGGCGTGTGGGAGGCTTCTCACCAGTCGGGTACTTGGGATGCTCCTGGCTAATATGGTAGTGGGGCTTCTTGTGCTCAGGCTTAGTAACAGTGTGCATAGGATAGCCGCCGTGGTGAAGAGGGATAGGAGCTCCAGTAGGGGCAGCGGAGCCACCAGGGTTGCCAGCCCACAGGCTAGGGTTGATACATTGGCTATACCAGTCGTTGGATTTAACACACCTCCAGCCCTCAGTGCAGGTAGTGGGGCCAGTGTAGCCAATACCGCCACAGCGTCCATAGGGAGCGACCTCTCCAAAAGGAGAGACTGATCCATAAGGAACAACCTGTCCAGAAGGAATGACAGGATAGTTACGAGCCAGGCGCGTAGGAGGCTTCTCCCCAGTCGGGTACTTGGGAGGCTCCTGGCCAATGGGGTAGTGGGGCTTCTTGTGCTCAGGCTTTTTGCCATGGTGGGTAGGATAACCACTGCTGTACGGAGGGATAGGAGCTCCAGTAGGCGAAGCAATACCACTGGGGTGAGGCTTGTTGTGGTGGGGATGGTGCGGGTGCTCCCCTTCGCCAGACTTGATGCATTGGCTGTACCAGTCGTTGGACTTGACACAGGTCCAGCCCTCGGTGCAGCTGTTCTCGCCCTTGTAGTACCTGCCACCGCACTGGCCGTATGGAGGAACGGAAGCAAGGACTGCGGAAGTCGAGGACAAGCCTATGACGGCCACGAGGGTGCTCTTGGTGAAGTACATTTTGATTGTTTTTCGAGTGGCTTCAGTTCAACAGAAGTCGAGAGAAGATTGATATGGCAGAAGCTAGCTTCTATGCCAGGCGCTTATCGAAAAGCAAGAGAAGAGAAGTACGCTTCCAGGCCAGGGACGCTGATGGCGCAGAGGAAGGAGGAGGAGGAGTGGCGACTGGAGGTGGTGATCCAAGATGTCGTTGTAAAGGCCGTTTCAGCTCGTCTTTTATATCTACTGATGTTGCCAACGACACGGAAAGGTCCGGTGGGCCCGGTGAGTGAGATTGGGTAATGCTGCCATGCTGTTTCGTGGAATCGTGAGAAACGCCAGCGGCCATAGAGGCAAACATGGCGATGATCCATGCGCCACGGCATCAAGTGACTACGCTGAGCGCGATAAACGGGCAAGAGTGTCGAGGCCGGCGGTACTGGCCGCGTAACAAGGCGAAGGGCCGGTGGTTCTCCGATAACGTGCTGTCGTGCACATTGGCAGTGGATAGTCTCATCAACGAAGTTGGCCCGAATACCTGGGTGGAGGGCGTGTGCAGCGTCCGTGCATCGGCGCGGTCGCGGTTGCCAAGCGGTAGACGAGCCTCCGCTAAAAAAACCACGCTAGACCGCTTTGGGAGGAGCCGCCAAGTAGGACGGGTATTTGTCGAATGCCCACGGGATAACCGGTGGTTATTGCTAGTGCAGGTTCCTGGCCTGCGTCGACAAGCAAAACCACAAGGGAGCTAGAGGCATCAAGCTTCACGGCATTCACAAGCCGAGCCAATCGTATCTACAGTGCATGTGTTGCTGTGTTTCGTCTATGTAATCATGATGCTACTACTACAACCACCACCAACCTCACCCCGCGACCCGCTCACGACTTGTAAACATGGATAACGTGCGCGTTGCAGTACGCAAGAAGCCCAGTCTTGCCCCATTCAGCACCAATGCCAGACTCCTTGTGGCCACCAAAGGGGGCCTGGGGTGTGGGCTTCTCGAACGAGTTGACAAAGACTGAGCCAGCTTCCAACCGTCGTGCAATCTTGCAGGCCTTCTCCACGTCCGCACCCCAAACACATGCACCCAGACCGGTATTCGTGTTGTTCGCGCGCGCAATAACCTCCTCGAGGTCTGACCACGGCTGAGTGGGTACGATAGGACCGAAAGGCTCTTCTTGGATGATGCGGGAGTCGTTGGGTGGGTTGTCAATGATAGTGGGCTTGATGAAGTAGCCCTTGCTAGGCGCAACATCGGGCTCACCAACCGCAAACTTGTAGCCCTTGGCCTTGCTGTCCTCGAAGAATTCCTTTACTCGCTCGTACTGCATTTGGTTCTGGACGGGACCCAGGAAGTTGTCACCGTCGTCTGGGTTTCCGACCTTGATGGTCTTGGTAAAGTTGACCATTTCTTCTAGGAACTCCTTGTAGATTGACTCGTGAATGTAGATACGCTTGGTCGCAACGCAGACCTGGCCAGAGTTCTGGAAAGCGCCCATGGCCACCTGTGGCGCCACCTTCTTGATGTCAACATCGGGCAGGATAATCGACGCATCATTTCCGCCCAGCTCCAGAGTGACGCGCTTGAGTGTCTTTGACGCCGTCTCCATGACCTTCTTTCCAGTGGCAATCGATCCAGTGAAGCTGATCTTGGCAATGTCTGGGTGGACGCACATCTGCGCACCCAACTCATTGTTGCCGCCAACCGCTTGAAGGACTCCTGGCGGGAGAATTTCTTGGGCGAGCTCAACAAACTTGAGAGCTGTGTAGGGTGTGAAGGGCGATGGCTTGACAATGATGCAGTTTCCAGTCATGAGTCCTGGCGCGATTTTTCCGACGCTCAAGAGCATGGGAAAGTTCCAGGGACAAATGGCAGCGCAGACACCAAGAGGTGAGTACTCGGTGTACAGAGTCTTCTCATCGTCTTCGACCTTGTCTGTCGGCATGTCGAGTGTCTGGTGGTAGCCAATAAAGCCACTCACGCCGTTGACCTCGAAGGCAGCCCATTGTTTCTTTTCACCTCATCAGCACAGGTCACACCACAAGAGTTGCGCACCGGCGCATGTACGTACCGGCTTTCCAGACTCCTGGCACAGCAGACTGGTGAATTCGTCGATGTGTTGTTGGTACAGCTCCGTAAGCTTACCGAGTAACTCCTTTCGCTGCTCAAAAGGTGTGTCCCTCCATGCAGGGAATGCCTTCTTCGCCGCCGCAACAGCATCGTCTAGGTCCTTCTCACTGGCAATAGGCACCTCCCATAGCTCCTGGCCTGTTGAAGGGTTGATACCGCGGTGGATCTGGTCGGAGCCGCGCTGCTTGCCGTCGATGATGTTGTAGAACTTTCCGAAATCAAGACTCGAGACCTTTCCGGGAGACATTTTTGCGGGTGAAGAGGTGGTTCAGTTGGATAGGGGAAGGAGGGTGGTGGGAGAAGGGTTAAGGGCTAAGAGATGCAAGAGTAGGGAGGGAGGAGGAGGAGGAGGGAAGGGCTACACAAAAGAGGACAGCCCCACGAGGATGAAGCTGCCTACTTAAGCTCATGGCGAATGCGGTTTGTGGGTTTCCACATGACTTCCTGCCATCGATTCCACCCCCTCTGTCATCCTCGGTAATTCCAGCTGTGGATTAGCAGTTTCTGCCTTGCTCTTGGCTGCGACTGTTCGACCCCACTTGGAGCAGCAGAATCGCGGGGCCCACGGGGTATGCCGGCCAATGTCCTTGCAAGGTTTCAGCGTCAACACGTCGCGAGGCATGCCGTGCGCGGTAGCCGATTGTTTTTTCTTCGTTATGTTTATAAACCCATCGTACCCGTTACCATTGCAGGACCTTCCGCCCAGCCACGTGCGTATTCGACTCTTGGGATTACCCATCAAGTACGGAGGTGACTGTCAAAAGTCCTTGCTAGCGCCACGCTAAGCCGCTAGCCTATTAGCCTAACCATTCTTGGCGCCTACACTAATTGTTTAAAGCTAGCAATAGCTTATATACTTATTTTTTTAAGTGTTTTTAATCTACTATAACGTGTTTCACCAGTAAGCGGGCCACCCCAGTATGTGGGCCACTTCCCTATGATATCCCACATTTGCAACAACAACGCGTAATGTCTCAACAACGCAACGCGTTAAAAACTTATACTAAAGCAGATCTATTTCTTGCTATTACTAATCTTAATTCTAAACAAATTTAGAGTGAACGACGCGCTGCTGCCGCCTATAGCGTCCCACGAACAACAATCTAGCGTCGACGAGCTAGACAGCGCCCTCGAAGCGATTAGAAGCCACCAGCAAGGCGCCTAACAAAACTAGAAGAGGAGGCTATTACTATGCGTGTAATAGTCGAGGCTGAGCGAGGACTACCCTGTGGGAAAGACGACGTGCGAGATATGGCCAACAGACTGCTCCGAGAGCGTGGCGGGAAGGAGGTGGGCAAGAACTGGGTTGATAGGTTTGTCTAGCGCAATCCTGAGCTGCGTACGCGCCAGAGCCGTCCATACAATCACCAGCGAGCTCTCTGCGAAGACCTAGCGCTTATTAAGGGCTAGTTTAAGCTAGTTTAGAATATAAAGGCAAAGTATGGTATCGTGGACGAAGATATCTATAACTTTGATGAGACTGGCTTTATTATAGGCAAGATTTTATCATAGTTAGTTATTACAGGCTTAGACAAACTAGGGAGAACAAAGAAGATCTAGCTAGGCAATTGTGAGTGGGTTACGCTAATACAAGGCGTTGGCGCAACAGGCACGCGTATCCCAGCGTTTCTTATCTTCGCTAGCAAGGTTCTGATCTCTACCTAGTTTACGGAGGATCTGCCACGCGACTAGGTGATCTAAGTTAGTCCTACTAGCTAGACGAACAACGATCTAGCGCTTGACTAGCTTCGTTACTTTGATTCCCATGCGCGGCCTGTGGGGACGCATAGGCTGCTTATTGTAACGGCGCAGGTAAGGCAGGTCGGATCTGTTTCGGTCGTAGGATCACTCAGAGGCATATGGGAGTGCGTGGGATCACAAAGAGCCTAGATTCAACAAGCCACCTA